CAGCAAAGTGGAGGAAACTGGGCAACAGTAAGGCTTTGACAGTAATTTGAAGATTGTTCAATATCCCAATGTTTTCCCTCATCTGATTTTGAATTCCGAACAGTAGATGCAACTCTTTTTTCACCATAGATCTGACTATATTAGGGTAAAAAACATCAAAGATAGAACACAAGTTTGTCCAAAATCACATAGTTACAACTTGAAGCGGAGTCGGCTTTCTGGAATGAGAGAGTGAGTTTTGGGATTTTACTTTGGGGGGTTGGGTTAATTTTACTCGAGATATTAAATGTCTGTTTGACATTTTTTAATTTATTTTATGATTTGTTATAAAATCATTTTCAATCACATATTCACACAATAATATATTATATACGTAAACCAAAAATAATTTCCTACTTTTTAACCACACATTCTCCCAAAAATCACTAGTCAAAATTCTTTTTTTTTTTTGTTTGGGAAGTGTTCAAAAGTCAGAGATTAACTATACACATTCAAAAATCAGGATTTAGTTAATTAATTAAATGTATTTATTAATTAAATATAATAAAATCTTAGTTATATAATTAATGGTCACATATACATAATTATAGGTCACATGTCGCATATTTTAAAATTAATTGATTACAGATCAAAAATTTTGTACGTTACATATTATTTCGAGATCACAAATTTTTAAATTAGTTGGTCGATTATTTTTGAGTCACATATTATTAAATTTTTAGGTTACAGTCGAGTAATTGGTCACAAATTATCAAACACTTGGTCACAGATTAACAAACATTTGGTCACAAACTACCGCCATTACCACTATGGCCACTTTCGACCACCCTCTCCAACACTGCCACTACAGCCACTTGCAACCATCCTCACCCTTACTCGCCACAGCACTACAACACTACCAACAACAAAGTCACTGCCAACAAATCACCACACTACTACCAAGATCCACTACACCACCATCACCATCTCGACCGCACTGTCGCACCACCACCAACAGAAACGTACCACCGTCGCCATAGGAAACACACAACCACCACAGAAACGAACCACCACTACCATTTTGCAACCTACCAACAACCTGCACCACTAAACAACCACTACCACATCAACACCACAACCACCAAAATGCTGCGAACGGGGCTTTAATCGCCGCCATCTTCTGTGAGAAGGAAAACTTTGTGCGGCGGCGCACAAACCCACCATCACCGCACTACCAACGCTACCACGTGAACCATCGGCCACCACAACCCACCATCACCGCACTACCAACGCTACCACGTGAACCATCGGCCACCACAAATTGGTGCAAATTTCAAATCGACGCACGTAATCGAAGAAAATTCCATCACCGCTCATTACCATAAGAAGAAGACGATACCGTCAGAAAATCTCAGATTTTCGCTCACTGAGCACCGCTCACTGCCAGAAAATCTCAGATCTTCGCACGACGGCGACGACTCACGACGGCACTCAGTTCGCCGATGAAGAATATGCCGCCGGTGACGAGGAAGAGAGGGAGTGAAAGATGAGAGAAACGGGAGAGAGAGAGAGAGAGAGAGAGAGAGAGAGAGATGAGAATGAAAGGGAGTGATTTCGGGTTAATATAATTAATAATTCAATTAATACCTGAGTTTTAATTAAATAAAGTTCACACCTGAATTTTGAATTTGAAAAGTTAAATGTCTGATTTTTTGTAATTTCCCTTTTTTTTTTTTTACAATAATTGTTGTCAAACATGCTCTAAAATTACATTTTGAAAAAATAATGTATTTTTGAATAGTAATATTTTAGAAAATGTGTGATTAAAAAATAAAAAAAAAGTTTGAATTTACGTGTAATAATACTTTATTGAATAATGTATGATAGAAAATAAGAAAGAAAAAAAATGTATTTTTTTGGAGGATGAAGCCCAAACATGGGCTTAATAATTAAACTAAGATATATTTTGTCTAGTTAGAAGAGTTTTTAAAGGAAAATGGTAAAAAGTAAGGGGTTGTTCTCTTTGTATTTCAGTTTTGTGTTTTGAGTTTTGAATTCATTTTGAGTTTTGTATTTTGCGTG